CACAGGCGATACCTTCTTTTGAGTTGTTGGCCAGGGTGGCCAAAGGGACTCCCAAATAGTAACCCAGCATAGAACTGGGAAAATGAACAGCAGACCCCAATCTTATCTAAAGGAATATAGACAACTGATTACCGCTAGTTGAGGAACAGCTGACCCTCCTAAAATAAAGACCTCTAGATAGGCTGACTAGATTCACCAGAAGGGCAAGTAGTGGGGAATGGCTGGGGGTGCCGACAACACAGCAGACAGTAGCAGGGATATAAGAGTATAAGGGCTCTAGTTGGGGGAGGGAGGCTATGGGAGGGTGCTACCTGGGAAGTGGGTGTAAAAAAAAAGAAGTCAGAAGAAAAAAAAAAACCCTAAAAATAAAAAGCACTTTGTTGGAGGATACTTTGTTGACCATTTGTAGTTGTTTTTCAGCAAGGGGTCATTCTGAATATCTACCTTGTGTATTCTAAATGGAAATTACTGTACCTCTCAGGCAAATGACCTGAAGGGTCATCGTGTCCTGCCTGTCCCCCCGCAACCTTGTTCGGTTTGAAATATCTCCTGAGATAATTTTAGTCATCTTTTTTTTTTTTGAGCCACCCCATGTGGGTGTGGGGAACCAAACTCAGGTCCCCTGCTGAGCCACCTCTCCAGCCCCTGGAACTAAGAAAAAATTACTTATGTAAAATGTTAACAATAAATAATAATGTGAAAGGTCTATAAGAATTCTTTGGTATTTCTGGAACTTTTCTATGAGTCCAAAATTATTTCAAAGTAGAAAAGCTTTTTTTTTTTTCTTTTTAAAGTTAAAAGAGAGCCAGGCACCACAGCACATGCCTTTAATCCCAGCACTCTGGAGGGAGAGGCAGGCAGATCTCTGTGAGCTCGAGGCTACCCTGGTATACATAGTAAGTTCCAAGACAGCCAAGGCTACATAGTGAGACCCTATCTCAAAAAAAAAAAAAAATGTTGAAGTTTGAAGGGAAAGGAAGGGCAAATGCTGAGGGTCTTTGTCTTTGGAGCTGAGTACTGGTAGATACACAGGACTTCCTTTTACATCCAGAGTTTTCTCTCCTTTCTGTGTGAGTGTACATTGCTGCAATAAAAAATTTTAAATGGAAAACACAAACAAAAAGCTATCTGGTTTGGGTATTTACTTTGTGGGACAATTTTAAACTGACTCATGTAAACTATTATGTTTTGGACTATGTGTTTCTAATTCCTCTTGAGAAAATCTTGATATTATTTTTTTCCAGGAATGTATTTGTTTTTCTAAATTATTCATAGTCCTTCTTATTAACCATTTATGGATACATTGTGGTAGTTATGGCCTCTTTTTTGTTCTAATTCTTATAAATAAAGGGATTTTTCAAAGAAATCAATATGCCTGGCAATCCCTTCTTTTGTGTTTTCATTTTCCTTTGCATGGCTTTGTAACTGTACTGCTTTTATGGTTATTTATTTCTATTCTGTTATTGTTCTAACTTCTTAGCTCATCAATTGCTAGCCTTCCATTTTTCTATTAAAACCATTTGAAGCTGTAGTTTCTCAATAAATCCTACTTTCTCTGCATTGAATACACTTTTATTTATGGCATTTTTGTCATTAGAGATTTTAAGTGTTTTCTAATTTATGTCTTGGATTTTTCTTTGACTCACAGGTTACTTGTGAGTCAGGGGATGCTGCTTCTCCTCACATGAGAGTCGCTGTTCTTTCATAAGATTTCTAACTTGATCTGTTCTTGTGATCAGAAACTCTGGTCTATGTGATTTTACTCTACATAAAACTGCTGAAATTTGCTTTACAATCCTTCAACATGTGGACAATTTTTTTAAATACTCCATTTCAGTTGAAAAGAATATAGACTTTATTCAGTTACAGCCAGCATGTTAATTTCTTCTAATCTTCCATCTCTGTACAGACTCAGTCAACTTGATCTAGGTGCTTGCAAATTTAGAGCATTCTCCCCTCTTCCAGACAAACAGAACCTTTTATCCTTATGGAAGATTCTATTATCTCTGTACAGTTTTTGCCTTAAACACTGTTTTGACTGATACTAATAAGAGCACCAACTCTTTCCAGACTGTCTGCAAAGTACAGGATTTCTCTATGTTCTTGTTTCCAATTTTTTTTCTGAATTCCTTTCATTTTAAATGCAACTTAAGTCAAGAGAACAGGCTCAGATTCTTTAAAACAGATACACCACTTACAAATCTTTATCTTCTAAGTTGGACATTTAGTCTATTTCTGCTTACTGTGATTCCTAATATGTTTAACATTATTTCTTCCACCTTATCCTGTGCTTTTTATGTGCTTTGAGCCTTCATTGTTTTATTTTGCTCCATTCTCATCTGCTTTATTTACTTTTATGTGTATGCATGTATTGCCTGCATGTGTGTAAGTGCACCCATGTCATGTAGTGCCTGAGGAGGACAGGTCTTCAGATCTCCTAGATCTGAAGTTACAGATGGTTGTTAGCCACCATGTGGGTGCTAGGATTCAAATCCAGGTCTTCTGCAAGAACAGTCAGCACTCTTAACCACTGAGCTATCTCTCCAGCACATCATCTACTTTAATAATTATTATTTTCTACTTTTTCACACAATCCTTTTTCAGTTAAGAAGTTATTTTGATGGCTATGCTAGAAATTTTTACTCGCATATTTAGCATCTCTATCATCATTACAAGGAACACTTTAACTCTGAAGGTCCCAACTTATATGCTATTGATAGTTGGGGTTTTTTTTTTGTTTGTTTTTTGTCTTTTTGAGACAGGGTCTCCCTGTAGCATCAGCTGGCCTGGAACTCGCTATGCAGGCCAGGCTGGCCTCAAGCTCACA